CACCAGCTCTGTCTCCAGCTGCCACGCTGGGTATGGCTGGTGATCAGGAGGGTACAGGATGCTCTTAGCAGCAGCAAAAGTTGTATTTCAAAGGTTAATTGCCTGGTTTGGAGTTCCCTATTTCTTTTCCCCCTCCTCTAGTGCTTTACTTATTTGTTTCTCTACAGCACAAATAAGTACTCCCACAGATGAGGAAAGCCAAGTACAAAGAAGAAGGCGATCTTTGCATTAATCTTCCAGACAGCGTCAGTACATCGGATGATTTGGTACGCATTCAGTGCAGCTGACAGCTCTCCAGAGTATCCGAGAATGTGCCATGGCACTGCAGCAACCAAGCAGGAGCAGTGCACTCCAGAAGCATGACCTCTGCCATGCCTTTGGGACAGTGGGGAGAAATGCCTGGTGCAGGCAGGTCCTGTTTCAGGAGCTGTTGTTTCCAAGTGCCTCTCTGTCACTGAAAGCTGATGCCTTTTTGTCCTAGAGTCAGCTCCTGTGCATGCTTCATTTGACTGGTCTGAAGAAATAATTGCTGTTTCTTTGTTCTGCCTTGATTCCCAGCTCCCCAGTTGTCCAGTCCAAGGACAAATTCCTGTTCATTCATCTAAGAGAGATGCTAATGTTATATCTGCAGAAGGATGAGTTCTCAATTCATCCATGAGGACTTCTGGTTTAAGTTGTAAGGAGAGACCCCCACTTGGCTTCCCAGAGGAGTTTGCAGAAGTAGCTGTTGATACTTGTAATGATTCCACATAAAAAGCTCAATTTACATCAAATGGCACTGGAAATACTATTTTATATTCACTTCTCAGAAGAAAAGTACAAATTAGTATTTGTTCTAAGCTATTGCTGTTCAAAGAGCTTTTAATTGCTTTTCTGATCCCTCAGCCATGGCATGTTTCGTTCAGAGCAGCTGCCTTTGGAGTAGTTGGAGCTGACCTTGGTGAGCACCCAGCAGCCCATTGCTTATCAGTATAAGAGAATATTGGTTCTGAGTAGCACATTTTATTCTCATGGAGTAAAAGTAATTCTGTGTGATTTAAGGTAGCAACCAGCTTCTCTAGTGACGTTCTCCTTTAGCATTTGTCAATTTTGGCTTGAAAAATTGCTTTGGCGTGGAAAGCTCAGCACTTAGTCAGAAAGCAGAGGAGAATCTTTCAGCAGTGGTTGAAGCAAATTGCTTAAATTCCTTTTGAGTTGTGAGTCAATAAAATATGATCCTAATCTGAGATTCTCACTTTCAGCTAGCAAAACTTGTTTGCTCTTCCAACTTGCATGATCCAATTTTAAGAACTGACACATTGGCTGGACTTGAAGCAAACAGATTCCCCCAGCCCAGCCCGGGGTGTGAAAATTCAGCCCAATGTGTTTGTGCTTATTGCATAAACGATGTGAGACTCCTTCTGCCTGCAGTAGTCCTTTGGTTTATGTGTTTGGGCTTTGTCAGCTGGATACCTGCTCCCCCTCTTGAGGTCCCACCAGTAAGTAGATGGTCTTCATCAAGTGTTGGTTTTGTAGGACCCCACACACTGGGACTCCTGAGCAGAGCAACGGAAATTTGCCTCATTCAGCATACAACTTGTGATATCCTGAGTTCTGTCTCTGCCTCTTGGGAGGGAAGGGCTTTGTCTGGTGACCTTGGGGAAGAGAGAAGTGTTTCCCATCCTCTTCTGTGCCCCAAGATCACATCACCTTTATCTAGTCCCCCTTTTCTGCAGACAGCAGCTGTGTCAGGACATTAACAAAGCTGTTAGCAGTTCTGGCATCCCCTCTGCACAGTTCAGTCTGCAAGGCTTCTGCTCAGAGCCAGCAGCAGCTCAGACAT